CGCACTCATACAACACGCACTAGCAGACATCACACACCCTCTAGGCGGTATGTATACACTTGCATGCATGTACAGCACGTATGGATGGAGTGCGTGCAGCTGGTGCGTTTATGTCTTTGCATAGAGCGTGTAGTGTATGCTTTTATTTCTGCTGCTGCTGCTGCTGCTGCTACAGCAGTTGCTGCTGCTGCTGCTGCTCCTCCTCCTCCTCAACAGCTGTATATTGTGCACCTACAACAGTGTCTCCTCCTCCTGCTCCTGCTGCTGCTGCTGCTGGTGCTGCTGCTGCTGCTGCTGCTGCTGTTGCTGCTGCTGCTGCTGCTGCTGTCTCAGCTCGCACTGGCAGCCCTGGTTGCGGTGTGGGGCTGGACGGGTACCGGGCGCATGCAAAGGGCTTCATCGATGGCGACCTGCTGGAGCAGCTGCTGCTGCTGAGGCCCAAGCAGCAGCGCGAGGTTTATAAGCTAGCTAGAGTGTGAGGGTTTCTCTCTGTCTCCTTTTTCTTTTCTCTGTCTCCTTTTTCTTTTCTCTGTCTCCTCTTTGTCTCCTCTCTGTCTCCTCTCTGTCTCCGCTCTGTCTCCTCGTTGTCTCCTCTCTGTCTCCTCTTTGTCTCCTCTCTGTCTCCTCTTTGTCTCCTCTCTGTCTCCTCTTTGTCTCCTTTTCTTCTCTCTTCTGTCTCCTTTGTCTCCTGTCTCGCAGCTTTCTTCTCTGTCTCCTCTCTGTCTCCTCTCTTTCCTCTGTCTCCTTTGTCTCCTTTCTGTCCCCTTTTTCGCCGCTCTCGCAGCTTTCTTCTTTGTCTCCTCTCTGTCTCCTTTGTCTCCTCTCTCACCTGTCTCCTTTGTCTCCTTTCTGTCTCCTTTGTCTCCTCTCTCATCTGTCTCCTTTGTCTCCTTTCTATCTTTTGTTTGTTTGCTTTTTCTGTCTCCTTTGTCTCCTTCTGCTGTTGTACGTCCCTCCCCGTGTCTGCAGTCTTTCCGTGCAGCTTAATATTTCTGCTGCTGCTGTGTTTGCTGCTGCTGCTGCTGCTGCTGCTGTTGCTGTTGCTGCTGCAGCACTGCTGAGGAGGTGGGGTTGTCTC